AAGAAGAAATTAATTTAGGGCTCTTCGTGTAAATTCTATAACTTTGCAAAGAAAGGTCATGTAGAGTTGGGAGAAGTCTCATTTTAATCAGAAATGTGCGGGCTACAATCATGCGTTATTAAGAACGGTTCGAGTTATTTTTTGGAGTTTCTGAAAAACTCGTTTTCTAGAAAACCAGGTCTTCGAAGGGCTATGCGGAAGCCGCATGGTCGTAATCAGCATGTTCGATAACCTATAACCCACTAGATTCCGAGCAAAAAGCGTTTAATCACTTCATGGGGTTCCCTCGTCAGTAAAAAAAGCGGTGAATATTGACCGATTGAAAAATTTAATCCGATTGTTTACTAATCAATCGCCCGATTCTGTTTGATCCAGTAAACTGAAAGCGGACATTATCTACTTTATGTAAACATTAAAAACTATTTATTTTGTTTATAAAACGTTTAGCAGTACATAAGTTAAGAGATGGTGAAAATCATTTTATCGTAAGATGCAAACGTAAAGCAAACTTCAAATGGAGTTTTTTTGAGTTTATTATACAAATTCGGATTCAGCTCAACAAACTGATCACAAATATTACCTTCCCAGTCAAAAAAACCTTTTCTTCATGTCGAAAAACTCAGAATTACGGACAGAAAACCGACTTTTTCGCCTCTGATTTGGAAAAAATGAATTTTCTTAGCAACGAAACAAAATTTGAAAAAAAGCTCCAAGTATTTTTAAAGCTGGTTATTTGGCCTATCTATCGATATGTTTATCAAATGTTTAGCCATCCACACAAAAAACTAGTAGAGTTTTTGAACGAAAGGTGTTTTTGACTCATATACGTTCCGGGCCCAGCCAAAATTTCACTTTGTGATTTGGAGACCTGAGAGTACCTTGGCTAGATGCAATTCTGAATAAGGAATCCAAATATAGTAAGCTCAAATTTTCCTGTTTTTGAGACCTTTCAAGTATTTTGAGTTTTTCGACATGAAGAAAAGTTTTTTTTGACTGGGACGGTAATATTTGTGATCGGCTTGTTGAGCTGAATCCGAATATGTATAATAAACTCAAAAAATAATTTCACTTGAAGTTTCCATTACGCGCATCTTACCTCAACAATTAAGCGTGTGAAATTGTATGTTTTTCCGTTTAATTCAATTTTTCACGAAGTTTAGCTACGTTTGAGAATTAAAAAGTATTAAATTTCGTTTAGAATTTTCTGTTTCAGAGAATACCATTCAACTCAAAATTGCGAAGTAAAGAAAATATAGAAAAATAATAAATATACAAAAAGTGACCGTTTTTGAGAACAAAAATGAGTACGTACCAGAGCTCCATATGGACTCAAATTTTTGAGTCTAGTCCATACGGAGCTCTGGTACGTACTCTCGTTGAAATTTTCACTAACTCGAGACTCAAAATCTTCCAAGGGTCTAAAAGTTTGGACTTGCTAGTAATTTTTAACGAAGAATCGAATGACATAGGTTTAAAAACATTTTATTAACTGAGCATTTTATGCTTGATTCTTCGATGAACTCTCTCTTAAATATTAATTATTAGTGTATTTAATAGATATCTATGTCTTTGAGCTAGATAAACGTACAATTGAGAAATTATGCGTTCTAAATCTTTATTCATTAACTTATATAACTGACGTAATGGCTTCAATATGAAATGTACGTATTCGTGTCTATATGTACCATAGCATGATGCTAATATATTGTTAACAACAATTGTTCCTTCACTTGTGATCGGTGCGTACGCATCATTTAACAAAATATGTTTGATCTGAGTAACAATAACTTTTTCTACGCTTGTAACATTTTGTGCTATATAAACAGAATCACCGATTTCAATTTGATTTGCAAACTGATATTTCTCCTTTTTATCATTTAATTTTTTGATTAATAATGAGTGTGTAGGTGTAATATGCAACGCATTAGTTTTTGATGACGATGTAAATAGTTCCAAATATTGAATAGGATGAATTTGATTGTAGTGCTGATAGATAAAAATCGCTAACACGCGACTATATTTTACTTGCAGTGTATTACCATCATCGGAATACGAGACTAATATTTTATCACCAATACTCAAATCACGTATTGAGCATAACTGACCATTTTCTCTTAAAACTGTTGAATTACCATCAAAACAGACTAAAATTAAAAGAAATAAGTAAAAATATATCAAATTTAAATAGCTCACCTGGAGACTTGGTAGTGGTTCTAATCCTTTTCGTTGTAGTTGTTGCTCTAGTGGTTCTTCTAGTTGTTGCTTTAGTGGTTGTTGTTGCTTTAGTGGTTGTTGTTGTTGCTGTAGTGGTTGTTCTAGTTGTTGCTTTAGTGGTTGTTGTTGTTGCTGTAGTGGTTGTTCTTGTACTTTTTGATTTCTCAACGCCAATTATAACAATAATTAGAATAATTAGAATAAGAAATGTGAAAATTAAACTGACTGCAATCCATAATCGTCTTCGTGTGATAGCAGGGGGAACAGGAATAATCGGTTGAGGTAGGAGTGGTTGAAGCTCTGTCAGCTCTTGCTGATTTGTATTTTGATGATTAGGCGCTGGTAGAAGCTAGAATTCAGTCGATAGTTAAGAAAGAATGTCTTACAATATAGACCACGCTCACTGTTGACGGTGCGGTATTGTTGTGAGTTCTTTCAATGATATCACTGATAACATAATTCCTCCGGAGCCCCTCAGTTGTGAGAATGACTCGACTAACTGGACTAGTACCATACTGTCGAATCCATCTTTCAATAGCGCTACGTTCATATGTTATACCGTCATCGGCAATGACAGGATCATGGAATAGTTCGAGTGTTATCGGGCAAGTCAACGAATCATTTAATAAATTCATCTTTACTCTGGTATTATCAAGGTCGAACTTCAAACTATTTGATATACATTTTGAAAATCATAGTAATTATCCTACTGGAAGGTTTTTGTTTTAATATGGATATCAGACATCGATTGATACTAAGTTAAAAATAGTAAAATTTGAGTCACATTATTTTGTAATGACCTGCTTTAGACAAAACAATGTTGCTAGTTTCATGTCAAATAATGGTCAGATGTGTGAATATCTATCACAAATGTTATATAACGATTAAAAACTCACTAAATGGTTTATTAGGTGCCAATGTGTGATAATACGGTAATATAATGTAAGAGTGTCGCATATTATCGCCTTATAACACGTTTAAAGAGTTTTTGTTCGTTATATAGCATCTGTTACTCTCCTAGTGAGACACTTACTCGAATCTTTGACAAGATTCGAATAATCTTATGAGGGAACCTCTTGAGGTTATAAATCGCTTTTGAACTCAGACTACTTTTATCCTGTAGATCTCAGTGAGTAGTGAAATACCCGAAGTTGATTTGTGCCCATGGTGCTTTGTTGCTGAGATACTGGATTTTTAGTCAGTTTTTGCCTACAGAACTTGGATTTCTGGCAAAATCCGACTGCCGAATTTTGATTTCAAACTTGCCACACTTATAGCCCATGGTCATAATAGTACGACGGAAAAATATTCGATGCTAATGAATTTTCCTGCTTTAAGATATTGAGACTCGAATATTTGATCCTCAACCCTTACCTTCTCGTGAAATATTCGAGTCTTAATATCTCAAGGCAAGAAAATTCATTAGCATCGAATATTTTTCCGTCGTACTACTATGACCATGGGCTGTAAGTGTGGCAAGTTTGAAATCAAAATTCGAAAGTCGGATTTTG